GCCCCGCCATGTTTCCGCGCTCACAGTCGCACCCCGCCCACGCCCCGTGCTGACTGGCCGGCCCGGCTGCCAATCAAGCGCAAGCCCCGCGCTCCTCCCACCTGCGCCGGGGCGGGAGCGGGGACCAGAACCAGCGCGCGCACAGCTGCAACCAACCCCCTCCCCCACTGAGCCTTCCTATTGGGCCGCGACTCCGCCCGCGCCTCGGCCCCGCCCGGGAGGCTGAGCTCAAGGAAGGGGGCGGAGCCGAGGTTGGCTGCTGGGTCCCTAGCGGGCTCACGTCTCCCCCGCTGACCCGGGCGGAGGACGCGTCAAGAGGAGCGTCCTCCAGAAGAGGGCGCTCCTGACTTAGTTGGTTTCTCTGCGGGACGATAAAGGGGAACCTTGGGGACAGGACGAAACTGGGACTTGAGCGTCCGGTCTCCCAGCGCGGGGCTTCGTCTTTGGTTTCCCACACTCCCAGCTGTAGTTACAGTGGAGCTTCGTGGGTTTGAACCCGGCCCCAGCTGTGTGACTTTGGGCAGGTGACCTAACCTCTCTGTGCCTCCTTGTCCTCACCTAATATGAAGCACTTACCTCACTGGGTTGCTATGAGGATGAAATGAGGTGACAATTCCTATGAGATACCTAGGACAATACCTGGTATATAAATAGAACTACGTAAACGTTCACTATTATTATGCTGCACCCTGCTCCTTCTACCTCCTCCTCTAGTCTGTCTTTGAACTTCTGGAAAGTTCAGTGCCTCCTTCCTGCCCTGTCCACTTACAAATGTCTTTGCATCTCTCAGGCCCCTCAAAGTCAATGAGTCAGCAATGAAATTTGTCAGCCTGTCCTCCCCCACACCTCCCAAACTCAGTGAACGCCAGCGCCCCCCCCACCAACGTCCCAGGGAAGGAGGGTGGGTGGGGCCCAGGGAGTGGGAAAGCCATGCCAGGCAACTGCTACCAGTCCTCCTTGATGCTCTTGAGTCTATTCCTCCTCTGTGCCCCACCCTGCCATCTCCTGAAGAGTGGGATGGAGGGGGTGGGCGTGTCTAGAGAGAGAGGCAGGCAGACCTAGGGAGCTGACAGGAGACAACTGCGGTCATCTGAGTGACAGGAGAGGACTCAGCTCAGTTTTGGGAAGAGGGGAAGGGCAGGAGACTGAGCTAACAGGAAAGGACCCCAGCCTGGCCTTGTGGGGCAGGGCCTGATTCCCTACTGAATGGTTTGGAATTCCAAGCTATTCTGAGGACACAAAGCCTCGAAATTTGAGCTGAAGGGACAGCCTGGGCCCCAGAGCCCGGGGATCTAGAGACTCGCAAAGCACCTTAAGGTCCCTTCCCCCTCCCGCTCCGAGGAGGCTGCTGCTTTGGGCCCTTCCGGTGGCTGAGGACTCTTAGGGGGTTTTGGGTGGTGGTTGGCTTTTTTTTTTCATCTTTCTTTCTTTTTCTGTTTTTGTTTTTCTTTCTTTTTGAAAAAATTTCATTTCCATCACAACCCCAGCTCAGACATTCAAATTCTTGTGGGTTTTTCTGTGGATCTTTCCTAGGACTGGGGAATTTGGCGGGAGAAACCATGGCGGTGAGGTGGCCTCCCCCACCCTCCCCATATCCTCTGCTCCTGAGGATCGGGAAGAAACCAGCCCCTGTGTATTCTGGAAGAAAAGCCCTCTTCTCCACCCAGCTGGGCAGAGCCAGCGCTCTAACCAGCCCTTCCCCAACCCAGCAGCTCTGTCTGTGGAATGGGGTGGGGCATGGAGGGACTGCCAGGGCCTTGAGAGGGGAAGACCATCTCAAGGGGTCCTGGGATCGGTCCCCCTGCCTGAAGAACCTGCCGACCAGCCCTCAGCTAGTAGAAATGGTTGCCCACACCACCCCTGAATTATGGTGCCTCCCAGGCATCCTCTGCTGGAAAGACCAGAGTCTGGGATGGGAACAGAGACTCCTGGGTCTCTCAGGGAGGAGGGAGGAAAGGGCTGCCGAATGGTAGAAGCTTCTGGAAAAGCAGACTCAGGCTCAATACAAGGAAGCACCTCTCTCAGAGGTCACTGTCCAAACACTAGCCAGCTGCCTGGAAAAGGAGGGAGCTCCCTGTCCTGGGATGTGTGCAAGCTCAGGAAGGCAGGTAGGCATGTGGAGCACTGGATTGCTACCGTGAAGAAGGAGTGGCCAGTTCCCTAAGGGGCATTCCTGCGCAGAGCACCTGGGTTCTGTAAGGGAGGCCTTGCGCCATCAGGGGCCAAATATGGGGCTGAAGGACAGGTCCGCCTAGAAGGGGATGCGGCTGGCAGGGCAGATGTCAGCGGAGACTGGGGGGCCCTGGGCAGAAACTTGGCCATGTGTGGGGGAAACTTGGCCATGTGTCAGTGCTTGGAAAATAGGTTGGAAAATGAGAACGGTTGACAGGTATTGACCCCACTGTGCCAGGGATGGTCTGGCAGCAGTGATGGCTGAGGCAGCCAGCCATGTGAGGCACCTCACTTTGCGCCCCAGGCATGGAAATATATAGCCAGCCAGGTGGCTTCACCCAATGGCCTCCCTGCCCTGGGGCAGCAGGGCTGTTGGCAGGAGCTATGTGGGGCATCGGGTCAGAGGAAGGGCCACAAGAGCATGTTCCAGCTGCCAGACCCCGGGTGCAGGGGGGATCTTAACCACGGCCCCCCAACAGCCAATCAAAAGAAGCTGAAATTCAAGGGTTTACCTCTCCAGCAAAGAAGAAAAGGCAGATTGGCTTCTGCTGCATCCAACAGGGGTTGAAGGCCTTGTTCCAAAAGGGGGGAGCTTTTGAGAGATAGAGGATACCTCCAGCCCCGACTCTCCCCACTCCTGAGATTCCCCAGTAAGAAAAGGAGATCAAAGGACTCCTCACCACATCCTCTGGTGAGCACCAAATGCAGACTCATGAAGAAAAGGCAAGTGAAGAGTGCAAGCACGCAGGCGCACGTGTGGGACATGGGTGGACATCTCAGGGGAAGGATTCAGTTATGGGATGAGAAGCTTATCCGCTCCATGGGAGAAGTAAATGGCAGTGCCTGGCCTTGGATTTGGGGGAGAAATGAGACAAGGTCATGAGGTCAGGATAAGGATGGTCTGAGTTCAAAGCTCTCCAGGAGAGACCACTTCCTCTCCTCCCTCCCTCTCCCTGCCTCTCTCTCCCCTCTCCTTCTCTGACCTCTCTCATCTGCTCCAGACTAAGCTGCCATGATGGGCTGTTGATCACCTGTCCACCCAGGTGCCCAGGGCTTACAGCCAGCCCATGTCATCTGTGCCAGCCAGAAGCCCACTCAAAAACACACCATCTTCACGCAGATGAGAGGAGGGGTGGGGAACATGAAAGTGGGAGGCCCTTGCAAATGAAATGGGAAAAACCCTCAAGGCTGCAGGGACTCCAAACTTTGACCTGAACAGAGAGACCAGAAGAGTTCTGGGAATGAGAATGACACTGACTTTCCCTCGGGTAGCTGTCATTCACCCACCCTGAGGCCCTAGGGACTGGCCTGGCCAAGCACAAGCTACTGGGGTGGCATAAGTCTGAAGGACCCCAGAGCTGCCACAGTGGGTCTGACAGATGTGAGTCTGCCCCAAAGGTAGGCTGGGGGGAATCTAGTGGTCTCTGGTCCTAGCACTGGATGGAGGAGACTGTCAACCTAGGAGCTGACTGATGACTGCCAGTTCTGGAATGCTCTCATCCTAGGCCTGTGTCCTTCCACATTGGGAGTCTACTGGCACGTAAGGATGGAGAAGCTGCCCTGGGACTTTGGCCTCCTCTTCCTATCCCTTCTGATCCCTATTCTGGGCAGGGACAGTGGCAGCCCAAGGCAGGGGCAGCTGGAGAGCCAGCCCTTGAGAGGGACAGGTGGCTCCCTGCCCATGGGACACCTAGGCAATGGCACCCTCACACCCTGTCAAACCCGGGATATTATTATCAGCGGCCTCCTGCCGCTGAGGGGCCCTCAGGGCCAAGGGGACACAACCCACCCCCAGGCCACAAGCTCCTACAAAACATGTCACGCCTCAGACCCACTCCTAGGG